TACACTGGTGCTGCCTGATAGGAGGAGAACATCTGAGGAGGTAAGACAGATTGCTTTAAAAAAAAAAGGAGTGCCTACATTAATCACAGTGAAATGTCAAGAGATCTGAACACACGTTTTAGATATTAATGCCTTAAACATTTTTAAAATGCCATCGTATATATCCCTTATGTTTATAACAATTCATACTTTAAATAATTGATTGCAATATGTAGTTTGATACACTATATTTTAATCCAATTTTAGCAGCATGCGTCATGACTCCAACTCCTTTCAGCAGAATGAATTTTAGAGAGGAAATCAAAATGTCCTGATTTAGGCAATACCATTCAGTTAATGTAACATGTATCAAACTGATCATATGAAGATGACTGGAACAAATGTTGTTGAGAGTAACTGTCCATGGTGCTGAGCCCATGATTGCTTATTTCAAAGTATAAGTCAGTAATCACAAATGATAAATCAAACTGCAGTGAAGGAATCTATTTCCTTTCATTCAGTTTCAGAAATCTAGGCAATGGATTACAACTTTTAGCTTAGCTATTACATAGAAATTCCCACAATTAAACATGTTTTTTGACTTTCTGACTGTAAATACTGTCAGACCACTCCCCCTCCCCCATATAAACAAATCAGAATATAAGAAACTGTAAAATAAAATAAAAAGATAAATAAGAAAATAACAATCAGATATCTTTGTGGTCTTGTGAAAATTTCAATTCCATAGTGAGTGAAATTGAAACAACATATTATCAACACAGGAGCAGTCAGTTGTAATCACTTTTCTTGGTGTAAAAGGCTGTGTCTTAGGTAGTCATTGCTAAATCTTTTGCATAAAAACAGAAAAAAAATATCCTTCTTCTGTATCTTACACTGAGCAGTTCAATCACTGCAAATCATGACTATGTCCACGTCAAAGGGGCTTTGAGTCCACGCCAAGCCCTATATGCATTTTTATATGTATTTAAAAAGTAATTTGCAATCTAGAAATATCCGGTTATGCGTTCATCATTTGTCACGTTTTGCAGTCAACACTGAAACATTGCAAAATGCATCGAATTGATTGGATACCACCTTCACTTTCTTGCATCAAAACGTTTGGTCGCAAGGTGTCAGTGCCATGTTGAAAGTCAACAGAAAACGGAACTGTCGTCACTGCGTTATGGTTCCACCTCTTTATATCATTTTCACGTCAGTTGTTAACACAACTAGTCCTCATTTCGATGTCTCTTGATAACCCCGTGGACAATACCGTTTTCATTCTGAAAAATAGAATACTCTAAATCAGGAAGGCCAATGATTATTTTGACAGCATAAGCAGGGCCTTTATCTTGGACTACTGTTTATTTGGGAAATGATCATGGAACAAAGAAGAGACAGGCAACGGAGACCGCAAGAGTATTTGGCAAGATGCGTGGTCACCGTGCTTTTGTGGTGTGTGGCCTCAGCTCAGTTGCGATACTCGATCTCTGAGGAAATAAACGAAGGAAGCGTGGTTGGAAATATCGCAAAGGACTTTGGGCTAGATAAAAACACACTGAAAGACAGGAAGTACCGGATCGTTTCTAGTGGCACGGACCCCCTTTTCCTCGTCAATCAAAAGGATGGCATCATGTATGTGAGCAGAAAGATCGATAGAGAAGAGCTGTGCGCTCAGAGCAGTACGTGTGTTTTAAATGTGAAAACTGTCTTAGAAAATCCACTTGAAGTTCATTACGTTGAGGTAGAAGTATTAGATGTTAATGACCATTCTCCTGCATTCACAGAAAAAGACCAAACGTTAGAGATTTCAGAGTCCGTTTTGCCTGGAGTACGATTTCAGTTGCAACCAGCTCGGGATCAGGATGGAGGTCGTTTCTCCGTGCAGCAATATAAACTGAGTTCCAACGACTACTTTCGACTGGAAGTAAAAGATAAACGTGATGATATCAAAATACCAGTGTTGGTTGTTCAGAAATCTTTAGACAGAGAAACTGCGGGAAGTCATGCATTGACACTGACGGCCCTGGATGGAGGTAAACCTCCAAAATCTGGTCATATGAATATTCTTATTAAAATTTTAGATGTTAACGATAACGTACCAGTTTTTTCTAAGGATGTTTATTCTGTAACGCTCAATGAAAACGCCCCTGTAGGAACAACAGTAATACAGGTCAATGCCACAGACTTAGATGACGGTCCGAACGGCGATGTGATTTATTCCTTTAGCAACAGTGTGAATCCAAATATATTAAACCTGTTTGATATAAGACCATTGACTGGTGAAATAACTGTTAAAGGTTTTATAGATTATGAGGAAGAAGATGAATATGACATAGAAATCAAGGCTTCTGATAAGGGTCTAGCTCCTCTTACAACAGAAAAAAGTGTCATTATTAAGATAATTGATGTGAATGATAACGCACCACAGATTGAAGTTACATCATTTTCCAGCTCCATTCCTGAAGATTCCAGACCTGGCACTACAGTTGCTCTTATCAGTGTCCACGACATGGATTCTGGTCTTAACGGTAAAATAATTTGTTCTGTCAACGAAGACGTTCCATTCACTTTAGCACCTTCATTAAAAGACAAGATGTTTTCACTGGTGACCAAATCACCTCTGGACAGAGAGAAACAGTCTCATTATGAACTGACAATAACTGCAAAAGATGCCGGTCAGCCTCCATTATCATCTGAAAAGACAATAAGTGTCGTAGTGTCAGATGTGAATGACAACAGTCCAGAATTTTCACTCAGTCCGTATACTTTCTATGTCACTGAGGGTAACTCTCCGGGAGCTTCAGTCTTCTCAGTCAAAGCTTTTGATCGTGATGAGAAAAAAAACGCACTCATAGCCTATCATATTGTCAGAGATGGAAGCAATGATAATAAAGTAGCTTCATTTCTAAATGTAAACTCTGAAACTGGGGATATTGTGGCTCTGAAAAGTTTCGACTTTGAGACTCTGAAAACGTT